TGGTAGCGTTCGCTTGATCAGACTGTAATATCATCATGTTAAAGGTCATGTCTACTTGTAATTGTCTCAAGCTCCGACATGATATCAGATTTGATAGATAGCCGGAAGATCACCAAGCCTCCTGAGCATTAATATTGCCGGTGTCCGGGAAAAACCATTAAAAGTTAGCTGATGGGGCGAATTGAACAAGCTCTTAATCTTTCTTTTTGTTTTTCTGAATATTTGCTTAAGAACAATTTGAATGAACTTCATTTTACTATTTCAATCAATGGGGAATGAATTTTTGATTACTTTGTTTTCTTTTACTTCCCTGATTGTTTATGTTTCATGACATTGATTTACCACACGCATATTTGGCATAAATGCATGTGCATCATTTTTGCATTTTAACCTAAGCACCGTCCAAATTCTCAAAAAAAACAAAAAAAAAACAAATCAAAATCGGATCAGACTTTAAGCTTGAGCTCAAAAATGATTCTCAAGGAATGATTTACAGTTATGTATATACGGGGATTCAATAAACCGATTACAGGACATGTCGTCCCTACCGATTCAATATCAAGCAGTAAAGCGGAAAAAGGAGATGGGTTCAAAACTAGAAGTGGGCAAAAACAAGATGAATGGGCTATGGTTCAGGAAAGAGCTAGATGCAAGTTTCTGGGAAGGTAATGCATTAGCCCTGAGTGCGTCCGAGCGAAACATAGTCCCTCATGCCTCAAGAAAGGGGAGACTAACAACCTGTGTCGACTTAACAGCCTGCCCAAAAGATGACTTCCTTCTTCCACATATGGATTGTCCTGGAAGTAACAGCGCTGTAGGAATGGCATGTTTAATCAAAAAAAAAAAAAAAAATAATAATAGTAATGAACATGAATGAAAAAAAATGATAAAAAAGAGAATGATTTGCTTGTTTCTACAGTAAGCGGGAGCATCCAAGAGACTTTGAAAAGTGGAATTCAGTGCTTGATCAGACTGTTAGACCACGAATCCCAGGAGTCACCCCTAGAGGGAAAATTCAGACCAATTGGCATGGACCATTCAAAAATCCAGGAAGCTGTCGGATGAGGGTGCGCTGAATGGTCACTTCGGGAAGGGAAAGCCTGTCAATCGGATTGTTCAGTTAGGATCAAAGAAGAGATTTCAATGTTCTAAAATGGATGATTTCGATAAAAAAAAAAAAAAGGAAAAAGAAAAGGAAAGGGCTAAGTTGAAAACCCGAAGGGCCGAACTTAGCAAGGAAATTGAGCTTGCTAGGTTTGAAAACCCGAAAAGGGCGTCCTAGGCAAAAGTTAGAGCCATAATGAAAAATAATAAAAAAAAAAATGATAATAATTAAAAATAAAGAGTTTCGAGATTAACGCATGTGCTTAGTTTTAAATACGAAAAATCTTTTGCCATGCAGTTGTGGCATGCTTGCAACTGGTTGGCCTCAATGTCATCAACCTGTTTAGAAGGAGAATAGGCAAATTGAGTAGTTAGAATGAATTAACCATTGTATTGAAATAATTTCTCTCCACTTCTATATAATGTTGAAAGAAGTAAGTGCAATAAAAGAGCTGATCCTCAAATTTCTCTTCCCCTTTTGTTCTGGGGCATGATCGTCGATTACAAGACATTTCTCTCTGCCTATTTGGTCAGCATCTTGCTCATTTTGTTTTGAAATTGTGTAGCTGTTGGTCCTGCCGGGTATTGGATTCTCTAGACAGCGTATCAGAAGGTCAAGTGCCCATTTTCTCGGCGATTCCTTGAAAAGATCAATAAAACCATGGATAAACTTAGTACTCATGTAGGTTATGACATACATAAGGAGTTGCATTATGTGTTTTGTTTTGATCTGTGCAGGTAATAAAATAGTCATTTACCATTTCTTTTTCCCCCCAAGTGTAAGCTTCCTATATTCATTATCAAATAACTTCATTTTTAATGAGCATTTCTTATTAACCCAAGGGCAAGGAGGCCCGAATAACTAACACAACAAATAATTCGAAAGAAAAGTTTTTTTTTTGTCTTGGGTGTTGTCCATGTGTTGCAGGGGAATTAATAAAGGCAGAATCAGCAAATTTCATTGATTCAAATAAAGCAGCATACATTAAATAGGAGCTCAAAGCTCGAAGCTTCGAAAAGAAGACAGAGAAAGCAATAATAAACATTTATTTCAGTAAGGCGCTTACCATCAGACACCGATCCTTGCAGGAACTTAACATTCATCATGGGTAAAAAACCAGTTCACATATCGGGTGTCACAGTGTTCCTGCATCACTCCTTCACCTTAGGTACTGTGTGTTTCGGTTTCACCATACGGTCAGCCAAATTGGTCAGTAGGCATTGCAGCAGTCATTGAGACCACCTCTCGAAGTTATTGAATTCTGGGACGCGCTGTATTCATACCGTATTGGACGGCTGATCCTGTCTGGGAAATAGGGCCATGAACGTCTAGCACTGTGTGATACAGCACCCAATAATTGAGATTCATGCTCCAATAGTGACCAGCTAATCCTCACCAAGCGACCAAAAGTCCAACCGAATTGTCGGGTTATTCCCAACAGTCGGAAAATGTCCTTGAGTCCAGACGAAAGTTGGCAGGACCGTAGGTTGGAATTAAAACGAAGGCTGGGGACCGGGAAAGGAAGTAGGCTTAAACTTGTCTAGAGCCCAGGCTTGCAGCAACATTTGGACAACCACGATGAATGAACGTTGAAGTTGGTGACTGTGAAGCGGCAATTATCCCTGACCCAGCACATCGTTTCTTCCCATGATTCATCATGAATACGGTACGATGATACAGTCTGCATGTCACGAACAACTGTCCAGAAGACAGAAGTCTCCAACTCTGGGTTTGACGGCTTCTTTCATGGCATACACATTAACAGCAAGAAGCAACAAGGCTTGAACCAAGAGGGATCTAGATCCATGGCCAGAACCTTACTTCAGAACAATGCTCTTAAAAGGAAAGACCTTGATCCGTGGTTTATTGCCCGTCAGGAAGGTAAATCGGGCACAGGCACATTTCGGCTAGATCATATCTGGGGTCCTGGGGGTAGGGCCGGAGTTTCATTTTGTGGCAGGATGTGGTTCCATCACGGCTGCCACATTTTTCCTCATAGGTCGGAGTTATTTCAGCGTCTTTTTCAAACCGGAAAACCATTGGTGTTTAGGGGTTGAAATGCGTAACGAAGGCCAAGGACAAGAAGCCATGGTTGGTGGTTTTAGCGTCTTTGAATATTTCAAACCAGGCGAGTTGGTCCATTAGGGGGAATCTGCCATTAAGTCGTAGGGATGGATTTGGACGAAAGGATGAAACTTCAGGTTCCTGAAACCATGGAAATGAATTATCTAAGGATATGGATTGTTTTTGAATGCTTGGGTGTGAAGAGGCCGATAAAAGGAAGCCTTTCATTTAAGGAGCTGTAAAGGGTGTTCATGACGAGCACCAATTTCATTATCAGTTGGGAAGAGCATTTATGGCATAGGGTCGCTCCAGTTGGCGGACATTTATCTACGTTAAACAAGAAGGACAGTTTGTACAATAAGGAAGTTGGAGCCTTTTATGTCGCCATTACCGAGGAAAGGATGGTTGAGGCATTACGTCTGCAATCGTCGAGTGGACCACCCTGTCAGGTAAGTACTATGGATTCCACCTTCTGTTTCTAATTTGATTTTTGTCGTGTTCCACTTTAATTTCCTTATTTAGTCTTTTATTCATTTTCATTCCATTTTATTCATTTACAATAAATGGTGGGTATGATCACTAACGAGGTAGAACCACTCTTGTGAATAAGTGGATACCGTATTTTGAGTTCTTGTGTTATATTTTGTTTTTGAGGAATAAAAATCTTCACAAGTTGTAAGAAATTACACGTATAAACGATACTGTAATAAAAGCATATATACTGAAAAATGTAAAATTAATGTCATAAAATTTAATTAAAAACTGTACATATAATCCTTAAACAACTACAAAAATGTTTCAAAAATGGTAAAAAAAAAAGGAGCCTGGGCTAAGCGAGCCCCGCCGGACCAGCAGCTGCCTGAGGGGGTTGGAGGATGGCGGTGCGTTCATCGGATGAGGTAACCAATCATCATCCTCTCCGGAGAAGTCTAGCAGAATCCCCTCCACCTCTAAAACCTTCTCCAAAGTCGATCCACCTCCAGGCTGGAATTGGCAAACGGTGCTAGATTGGTTGAGACTGCTGCCTCCGTAACCTCCCAATCTCCGAAATCCTCTGTATAGAAGTCAGACTAACCTAATCGTAACAGAAAGTAGCTGTATCGTCAGACAATAGATAAGCAGGTGCAAATAGTAACGCACTATGAGATATCTATCCATCACACATACACTCCGATTCTGGCGGTTCAGCGTAGAGTTCGACGATTGTAATGTACCGGCTCCGAAGCCCGAACCGCTGGCACACATCCTTGATTACCTCTGGCAGGCACCTGCAAGCAACAGAAAAGAACATTTGGTGCAATTCGCTAAATGGAAAATGGTTTAGAAGAAAA